TGATAATAATTTATATATTCATCAACTTAGTAAAAATAATGTAAATGATACAATTAATATTATTCAATTAGAAATACCATCAGAAAGAATTGCTATTAGTTGGACATTTTCTCAAGAAAAAATAGTTATTTTTCAACAACTTGTTAATGACCATATTTCATTACATATAAGTGTTGTTTCATATCCAGAATTTGAACATCTTTATGAAAATACAATTACAATTTATGATCGTCATGAACTTACTTCTAAACAGTCACCAGTGTCTTCACCATTAACTTATATGATACAAGATTATATTATTCCAGATAAACTATTTTCACCAACTTTTGATGATTTTCCAAGTGGAAATAGTAAATTATTAATACAATCAAATGAAGACTATTATTTTGTTATTATATCTACAACTTCTCCTCGTTTAACAGTTTTTAAAAAAATTGATGGAGAAGGAATATTTGATGTTTCAATGTTATTTTCACTTAAAATTTGTAACGAAGATATTGATATTGTTACAGCAGAACATTTTCCAATTTCATTTTGTTTACATTATAATCAAAATGGTAAAATTCTTACACCACATCATTTAGTAATTCAATGGGATTCAGGGTTATTAACATCAACAATTTATAATATTGATGACTTCTCTCAAATTGAAAGATGTGAAATTATTTCAAATAAAGTTCAAAATTATTTATCATATAACAATATTATCATTTCATATCCTCCATTAATGTTACATAGCTCTCATTCATTATCAATGAATACTTTACCTTCAACAGCTATTGTTTTATTTCAGACATATAAATTACCAAAATTAATGGATTCTCCATTTACACTTACTGATGAAATACTTTGTATTGATCAAGGTAACATTGTTCCAATTCCTTGTGCATCTCATTTGACGTTACTACACTTATTGGAAGGAAGAAAAGAAGAAATGTCAGCTGATACACTAAGAGAATTATTAATCTTTTCATTGGATATTTTTGATAAAAAAGAAATTACAAAAGCAGAATTTAAAAATTTACATAATGCGTTTAAAGAACATTTCATGTATCCAATTTTAATTGTTCGTGTTTCAAGAATTATTGATAATAGCTTATGGCCAAAATTATTTTCAGTTACTCCAAGTCCAATAGAGTTATTTGAAAATGTATTAAAAAGTGGATATCAAAATGAAGCAGCAGCATTTATTAGAGTCATTGATGTAATGATGGGAAGAGAAAATGCATTATTATCAACACTACAACTTCTTGAAAATGTTAATGTCAATTTAATTAATGATATAGTCCATTCTATTTATCATGGAAGAACATTAGAAAATGCCTCAGACATTGAAAAGAAAATTTCATCTTCAATTCAAAATTATATAACAAGTAAACTTGCATATGAATTAAAAGAAGGAAATATGGATGAGGTGTTTTCTATTATTGGGGATAGTCATCCTTTTATTATAATGTGTTTAGAAGGAGTCCAAAATAAAAATGTAAAACTTCTTCAATTACACCATTCTTGTTATCAACTTGTAAAAAATCATTCTGTTCAAGAATGTTTTAATTTTGGTTCTCTTTTATTAGAGAATCAATTCTATAAACATACAATCCTTATTGGAATGCATTCTCAAATAAAAAAATTATTGGTTTTTCCTCAAAGTGATGAACTTTTTGATGACGTGACAAATCAACTCGAGTTTGTTTTTTGTTTTTTTTGAGGCGTTTATACAAATTACAGTAACTTTTTCGAAAAAATTTTGTCATTATACTAACGTTATAGACCTTTTGATGTTGAGTTTTGTGCCTTGATGAAAAAGCTCAAACCTGCAATTTATTAATCTAAACCCCCCCCTACTATCACTTGGTATATTGACTGTTTCTTTTCATTGTTTTGTTAGAACGTTATCACAAAACATAACACATTTTGTGAGTCTTTCTGGATTGTTCGAATAAAAACTGGAATAGACTCTATCGACAAACAATTTTTGAACTATAAAAACGATAAATGTTAAAGAAGATTAATATATTTAGATTTTAACAAAAAATCATGTTTAAAAATAGTGAAAAAGATGAAAAAAAATCAAAGAAGATTGAAATTATTGACAATTGAAATGTGATAAAAGATATTTTTGGGAAATCAAAAAAAAAAGATACTCAACTAATAAATAATAGTTGTTAATAAAATGAACGGAATAACTATTCGCTGTATTCACGACGAAGTTGCATCTCCAATAGCAATTGGAATTGAAACAGCACCTCCTACTTGTGATAATTCTTTAATGTTTGCTCTTTAAAAAAATCTTTTTTTTTGGAATTCAAAATAAAGTGAAAAGAGTAATAATCTACTTTTTCATTCTAAATAGAAAATTATTAAATTAACTTAAAATGAAAGGACTTATAGTAAATAGGGATTGTTCACAAGCAAGTACTTCAACACTTCTTGCTGATTTTGAAGTAAGAGAGATATTTAAAAACAAAAATTTTACAACAGAACTTGATGAAGAGAAAGACCAAGATCCTATGTATATAGGGAGACCAGCAAATCCAGTGATTAATGATGAAACTTTCTTTAACAGCCACTTCTGAGTTTTTTTCAAATAGTAACTATAGAAATTCTGAACTTATTTTTAATTTTTCACCTCTTTTTTATTTAATCTTTTTAAGTTTCTTTGTTTATATTATGGATAATGATAGTTTGAAACAACAACGAAACTGTTTAAAATCAACTCAAACAAAAGTGACTGCTATTGATGGAAAAATTCACTTTGAAAAAAGTGGTGAAATAATTGGAAGTAGTCAACAACAAACATTTGGTTTTGTCGTTGATAACTCTCCGGATATTGTTGCAAATGAGATCATTTCAAATTTATATCTTGGGAGTCAAGACTGTGTAACAAATAAAATGTATTTACATTCTCTTGGAATTAAACATATTTTATGTGTTGCTCCATTAATCCCTTCTCTATTTCCCAATGAATTTGATTATAAAAATATTGAACTGTTAGACTTACCTTCATTTAATATCAAACCATTAATGAATGAATGTATTGACTATATTGACCTATGTTTGAACCAAGAAGAAGCAGTTATTTGCCATTGTAATGCTGGTGTTTCAAGAAGTGCAACAGTTGTTATTGCATATTTGATTTTGAAAAAGAAAATGAGTTTTACTGAAGCGTATAATTTAGTAAAGCAAAAACGACCATCAATAAAACCAAATGACGGGTTTCTTCTTTATTTAAAAATGCTTAACCAACAAAACCTAATACAAAAAGCATAATTGAATATATTTAATGATATGTATAGTTAAAGAATAAACTAAGTCAAAAGAAACATTCTCTTGATGACGGTGTTCTTTTAGGAGTTGGGCATATACATTCAATAGTCGTTAAGGGAATATCATTATTATTTAATATTTTTCTTATATCATCACTGACGCTTCCTTGTGAAGCAACTTTTTCATTTAACTCAACTTTTAATGTTGCAACACCAATTTTATTGTTTAATTGCCAAATATGAAGGTCATGAACTCCAACAACATCTGGATGTTCTAAAATACTTTCTCTAATCTTTTCTAAGTCAAATCGCTTAGGAACAACTTGCATAACAATTCGAATACATGAATATAATAAAGGCATACCAGAAACCATCATTACTAATGAAACTATAAGACTTGAAATAGGATCAAGATAATATTTCCAATGTCCATTTATTAAATAAACACATAAAGCAACGAAAATTGTTGCTACACTCCCTAAGGCGTCTCCAAAAACATGAATAAAAACACCTTTAATATTAATATTTTTCTTTTTAGTTGAAACATTTTTATTTTCTTCAACGTCTTGTGGTTCTATAGTAATTTCTTTTTCATTTGGTAGTGTTGGTGTTACTACCATTCTTTTAGTCCCATGAGTTCGTATTGCACTAAATGGGTCTTCTACTTGAGTTATTTCTTGTTGAGGTTCATCTTGAATTTTTATTTGTTTCAACTCAATTTCACTTTTTTCTGACTTTTCTTCTTCTTTTTTGTTTGATGAATTTATTTTTTTATTTACCTTCTTAATGCAGCTATATTCATGAAGAATAATCATTCCAATGATATTTACAACTAATCCACCTCCAGACACAGCAAGAAGAAATAATGGGTCTTTTACTTCTTCTAATTCAAAGAAACTTTCAATGGATTGAATTGACATAAACAACCCAATTGATATTTGAAAGACGCTGTTAATAAATGCCCCAGTAACCTCTGCCCGAGTAAAACCATAAGTAAATTTACTACTAAAATTTTGTTTCATAATAATAGTAGCAGTTAATCCAATTATTTGAGAAAGAATATCACTTAACATATTAAAAGAATCAACAGTAAGAATGAGAGAATTTAAATATAACCCTATTATTAATTCAAAAAGGAAATAACAAAAATTCATCACCATGACAAAACTTAAACGATAGATATTAATATCTTTATACCACTTTTCTTTCTTTAATAAAATATCTTGTTCTCGGGTAATATGACTCATATGGTCAATTACTTTACTTGCATTTTGAATAACTTCAAATGGTTTAATTGAAGGAGTAACAGCTTCTTTTAATTGATCATTTGTGATGTTTTCAGTTTTTCTTTTACTAGACATAACCACAAAGGAATAACCAAGATCTTTCTTATTTTTTTCTTTTTTCTTTCATAACACCTTTCTTTTTACAAGTCTTAAAGAAAGGAAAAAGGAATATTTAATAAGAAAAAATTTGTTGAATTATAAATGATCTTTTACAATATTTATTATGGTTTTTAAATTTTATTGAAAGGTGGTTAACTATTATTTGTAGAATTAAATAATAAATATTTTCTAATATATAATACAAAAGAGAAGAAAAGCTATTTATTTTCATATTTAAATAAGAAAAAGACTTCAATTAATAAATACGATGATTTATTTCTTATTTTTATTTATTTATTATTCCTTTTGAAAATTCTTAAATAAAAAAAAAAAGAATAATCAATTCAAATTATAAAAGCCCTTCTTCTAATTGTTCGACTAATTTAGTATTAGTATCAATCATAGCTTTAATTTTAATTAACGAGGGGTCTTCTTGTTCTCCAAGTTTTTTGTTTATTGTTTCATTGACCATTTTGCATTGTTTTTCAACTTCTTCAATTTTAGTAGAAATTACTTTATATAAGTCATTTCCTTCTTTACGTTGAACACCACTGTCTAATTCTTTTAGTGATTGTTCAGCCATTTTTAACATTGATTCAAATTCTTGTTGTTTTTCAATCACATCATCGAGATAATTATTTACAATATTAATAGTTCTTGAAGTTTGTGCAATAACATTTTTAACAGCTAATTCAGTTTTATAATTTTCTTTAATTTCTTTGTTTATAGTTTCACATGTTTCTTTTATTTCTTGAATTTGATTTTTCATCGTTTGTTCATAATCAGACATAAATGATTGTAACCCTCCTTCACTTTGACACTTCTTTAATAACAAATCAATATCCTCTTCTTCTGTAGTAAAATTAAATTCATTATGTTCATTACTACTAACATTTGTATTGCTAATAAGGTCTGACGGAATAGTAATACATGACCCACTATCATCACTATTATCTTCTTCATAAGACTCTTCATCATCCTCATCATATTCTTCTTCTTCTTCTTCTGCATCAGTTTCCTCTTCTGTTTTTGTTAAACCAGGATTTATTGTATCATGTTTATTGTTAGATTGTGTAAATGTACTAGATAATGATTGTTTAGAAGTAGAAGTGAAATTGAGAGATGATGGAAGTTCATTTGGACTAAGGTTTAATGAAAGTGTTAATCCCATTGGTTTATTATCCTTACTATTTGTTGAAGAACTACTTGGTTGTAATGACCCTGAAGATGAATTTGTCAATGGAGTAGTGTCTTGTTTTTGAAGCAAAGTTGATGGGGTGGAAGAACCAAACAAACCAGTTAAATTGAAATTAAATCCATTTGATGTTTGTTTTAAATCATTTGGTTTTTTATTGTCTGTTTGTAAAGGTGTTGACTGAGTAGTTCCAAAAGGATTTGAAGTTAATTTAATTTCGTTTTGTGTTTGTTGTTCTGTTTTAGGTGGTTGAGTATTAAAAGTAAATGGATTTTGTTGTTCTGTTTTAGGTGGTTGAATGTTAAAAGTAAATGAATTTTGTTTAGTATTTTCAGTAGCGTTTAGAGTAAGTTTAATTTCTTCTTGTTTTTTTTCTTCTTGTTTTGAAGGTGTTGATTGATTAGAAAAATTAAATGGAGTTGACGAATTAAAATGAAAAGTGTTTTGTATTTGGGTAGGTTCGTTAGGTTTTATTGAAGAGGTTTGAGTTGTTTGGTTAGAAAATGGGTTAGTGAAATTGAGCCCTTTGAAAACATCTGCCATTGTGTTAGGTTGTGACATAACTGTAACTAAGTTCTTTTTCATGGAATTTCAATAACTGATTTATTAAATTATTATTTATTATAATATATACTATTTTATGAATTGCCTTTTTATTACTCTATTTTACAATTTTATTTTATAAAATTAATTTATTCATTTTTGCTGTATTAGCTGTTTTTATTTTTCAATACTTTTGTTGTTAAAATCTTTTTTATAAATGATAATTTTTTACTAGTTTGATTAATTATTATATTAATTTAATCTTTACTTGTTTATTCTCAAGATCTTTTTATTATCACAATATTTTGTTAATAAAATAAAATGTCATAAACAAAAGAATTTAAGCAACCTTATTTTGTACTTTATTTAAAATTGAAAAGACTCACAAAATGAATAAATATTTTCCCTAAAATTCAACACTTAAATGATTAATTTAATGAAAAGATTTAATACAATTCATAATGTATTATACTATTAAATAAAGAAAATAGAATGTTATAAAGGTGTATCATCCTAGCTAATGTAAGGAATAACTTATAGAGTGAGTCATATACCATTAGAAATGTATTAATCTTGTTATTATCAAAACTTAATTTTATTTATTATTCTGAGACAATTACATAATAATCAAATAAACAATAGATATAATTTATAATATCAAATGTGTATTTTAACTTTAAAATTACAAATAAACCACAAGAGTATTTCTTATATACTTCATAGTAAATACTATAAACTATGAAAGAAATTAAATGTAAAATATTTTTAACAAAAAGACTGGTCATACAAATTATTCAATTAAAACTATTTTAAGTGAGTAAAAGTCTAAATTTTCATTAAATTCTTTTATCTTTTTCTTTAATTCATTATAAATTAAAGGAGAAAGTAATATAATTTGCATTGTTATTAGAATTACTTTAAAGTACCTATATATTTCTGGTGCCATACCAAGATGTTTTAAACACTCTTTTACAATATTAGTTGCACAACTTTCATTACATACTAATCTTCTTAATTTTATCATTTCTTCATCAGTAACTTCTCGTTTACCTAATGCACTTTTTATTAGTTTTAATGCACAACCATTAACTTTTTGAGTTGGATAATTCTTAATTATTTCTTGTATGAGATTTTCTGGAGCATTTGTACTTTTAAAACTTAATAACACATCATCATCAAATTGATAAATTTTTTGTTGAATTCCTTTGAGTATAAAAGAACATGCAATTTCACCTTGTACATAATTATATTTCTGGTTTTTAATAATATGAACTGAAAGTCTTACACAAGTACTCAACCTAACTTGATTTAATTTATATAATTCTTCAATAACCTCGATTCCATAACTATTTCCATTCTCTACTTCTTTTATTATTAACTCATTAAAAACAGGTTCTTGGATTTGTTTAATTGCTGAGACAATCATAGACTTCCCCCACATTAAATAATCTTTCAAATAATATGTTGACATTTTTTGTAATACCTCTCTAGCCATTTCTTTGTCCATTATTTGAGAAATCTCTTTAAGAACTCCAAGACATTGTTCAGGATTTTTTTTAAGAATAATTCTACGTAAGAATGATAATGTATTTCCAATGTATTTACAACTTTCAATAATTCCTTTAATAAAATCAATAACAAAAGGTTCTGATGCTTGTTTTGATAAAATATAGCTATAATTTATTTTTTCTACTCTTTTTAGTAATAAGTCATCAATCATAATTGTTTCATTTTCATTTTCTTCTAATGTATTTATTTGGTGATAAAATAACATATAAGCATTTGACACTTCTCCTCCAAACCAATTTCCGTTACCTATGTTTTCAATTAATTTATCATTAAAAGATATCCATTGGTCATTAAGTAGTATATTACTAAAATAATGACCACCATGTGCATTTCCAGTATGAACAACTATTCCAACTAATTTATATTTAGTTATTCCTTTATACTCTGTACAACAATATTGTTTCAAATCAATTTCATTTGGATATTCAAATTTTCCATTATATTTGACAATTTGAAATTGTTCATTATATCCAAATCGTTTCAAATGAAATACTAATGTTTCTGGTAATTTTTTATATCTTTCACTTCTTTGAGAATCACTTTTTAATCCACATTGTTCACAACGATAATCACATAAAATACAACCTTCACATAGTGCTTTTAATGATTGTCCCATTGTTTGGTAATGTTCTACTTCTAATGCACATGAACAAAATTCTTCATTTCGTTTTACTATATGACCACATTGACTTTTGATTGATATTTCTGTTTCTCCAGTAAATACTTTTCTTGCTTCAATGATATTTTTCTCTTTTTTACACACTTCTAATGTTGATATTATTGTATTAAAAAATTCTTGAGCATCCATTTGTTCATAGACATTAACTTCTTCATAGCAACTTCCATGTGCTTCTTTACAAAACTCTTTTGTGTCGACAGTTTGTAATTTACTTTCTTTCATTTCAACAAATAATTTTTGTAATCCTTCTATCATTCTATAGTCTTTAAGTTCATTATTGTTATGCGTGATAAATTCATTTTGTTCTTTATTTTGAATATTCTCTTTTTGTGAATTAATGTTTTGTTCAATTTCTTCAGGTGTTTTACTTATTATATTATCACTTTGTTCTATCCCTTGAATTATTTCTTTTGTGATAGTTTCATTGTTAGTAATATTATATTTAGCTTCATTTTCTTTTTTTAATAGTTGGACCTTGTCAACATTATTCTTTGTTTTACAATTATCAACTTTTTCACTATTTATAACATTTATATCAATTTGACCTTTATTTTCTTCATTATTTTCAATATATTTAGGTAAAATAACTCTTTTTTCAAGAAGTTTATTACAAAACACTTTAGTATGTAATAATTGTTGAAGAATACTATTCATATAACAAGTACATCCTTGATTAGTTAAGCCACACCACAATCCTTTTCTTGTTTCCATATGATTTCCACTACTCTCTAACATACTTAATATCATATCAAAATGATGACAAATTTCCTTCTTTTGTTCTTCATTACAGCTCTTACAAGACTCACATATCATTTCAATATAATCATGGAGTATATCTTCTTTGATTTCATTTAACTTTCCTTTTGGAAATAATGAATCAATTAGTGCAATAAGATAAGGTTGAAGAAGTTTTTGTTTGTCTTTCATTAATTTCATTGCTCGAACACTAAATTTAAACCCTTTTCCTCTATTAACAACATTTCCAACCATTTTCTGAATAAACAAATCATCAGTATTATATTTTTTATCAATATATTGAATAATTATTTCATAACATTCTTCAACTAATTCACTTGGCTCTTCTAAATAAGGAATTAACGTTTCAAATAATTCTTCGTTCATCAATTCTTTAACCACTCTTTTTATTGGTTCTATGACCACTTCTTTATTCCATTCAATTGTTTGATTATTTCTTAATAATATGATATCACATATTGTAGTAATAATTCTTTCATTTCCTTCTGTAATATTTCTTTTTTGAATTTTTTTGATTTCTTCTTCATTTATATGCCATAATTCTTTTTTGATTAGTTGTTCAAAATGTAAGAGAACTTCAGCAAGATATTTCTCATTACCTTTTCTTATTTCAATAGAATGACAAAACATTGAAATAAGTTTTTTAAATTCATCCTCATTTATTTCATTCTGTGCCATTAATCGTTCGAATCCAATAAATTCATAACCAGTTTGTTCTTTACAGTTTTCAATTGCTGATAGTCTCCATTTAATAAATGGATTAATTTCTTTTAGAAGTATAATTCCAATGTTATACATTTCTTTTTTTTGAATAAGTTCAATAACATTTTTTATTTCATTTTCTTCAATTATAAAAGATAGTTGTTTTATTGTTTTTGGTTCACATTGAATTATTGTATTAATACTTTTTTCATTTGTTAATTTTTGACCATTTAATTTTTTAACTCCTTCCTGAAGATACAAAAAAATACTCCCATCTTTCTTAACTAAGTTTCCAATAATATCATTTATATTAACGTCTTTACCATCAATTTGAGTGGTAACCAAATACTTATTGTTTTTAATAACTCTTTTTATCCATTCTGCTGAAGTACCTTTTTGTTTATACACATTTGCTAATATATCAGTGATTATAACTTCAATTGGTGTTTCAAATAAATACTCTTTTTCTTCAATTTCAATTTCTGGTTCAAGTTTTTGTTTAGTTTGTATGATTTTATTATTAATTTCTTCTGAAAAAGATTTTAATTGTTTGATATCATCAATGGATTGATACAAATATGATATGTTTTTAACTTTAATTTTTCCAACGGGAATATTGCATTTTAATTTAATAATTCGTTTTAATTTAATCATTCCCTTGTTATTTTCTTCCAGTGATTGTTTTAAATCTTTTAATGATTTTTCAATTATTTCAGCAGCAATGAGTTGTGGATTTTTCATAAAGGCATGTAAAGCATCAATGATATATTCCTTTGATTTTCCTTGATATACTTTCATTAAAAGATTTTCAATGTTTTGATTTTTCTTTTTTAAAAATACATCCCAGAGTATTTCTTTTCCAACTAAATTATTATAATTATCGAATATAATATTACCATTAGATTCGGTGTGAATACTTTTTGTTATTAAAATGTTGTATTGAATAAAGGCATTTATTACAATTGAATATGATGTTTCAGGTAATTCGTTGTATGTCAGAAGAACTTTCATTAAATCTTCAATATGACTAATAATCATTTCTTCTGTTAACCATTTTGTTGTTTCGTTGAATCCCTCAAGTCTTATCATTCCTAGTAAACAAGAAGGAAATAAATTTTCATTTTTCTGTGCTAAGTTAATCAATACATCTTTTAAATTTTCGGTTTCATTAAAAATAGACATATCGAGTAACTGTTTAATATCATCTACATCACTTTCGAATGGAGCAGTCTCTGCAATAACCTTAAGTGCACTTAAAACTCCTATGTCTTGAAAATTTGTTATATATTCTGTTAATAGACTTTTCCTTAATAACACGCTTAGTTCAGGAAATTGT